TGATCCTGAATAGGGTTTTTGAGGAGTGGCTGGTGAGCCTGAACTGTCAACCTTGCTGTTCAAACTGATATTGCAGTACCCCACCAGGACTCCAGAAAAATGTTTGTTGTTGTTGTTGTGTTATTGACAACAAATCAAAGGTATTGGACTGTGTGGATAATAACAAACGATGGATAACACTATGAAGAATGGCTATTCCAGAACACTTAATTGTGCTCATGAACCTGTAACTGTACCAAGAGGTAGTCATTGGAACAGAACAAGGGGACACAGAATGATTTAAAACCAGGAAATATAATCTCAGTCCCAGTTTCATTTATAAAATGGAGATAAAGAGATCTACCACACTGCAAGGTTCTGAAGAATAAAATAACAGAACAATACACTTAGCAAGTGTTAAAGGCTCAATAAATAGATGATGGTCTTGAGGGTATAAAGTCTATGAGAAGTAACTGAGTTTGATGAGAGCCATAGTTTGGACAACTCTTGGTCCCCAAGGAACCCAGATAAATAAAAACTAGCTCTGACAACTGTCGTTACTGAAAATAAGTCTGTTTCAAAATCTATGGCATCCTTTTCATTTTTGAGAGGCGAACTGCACAAATGTTCTTCAATGACCAGGAAGGAAAGCCCCCTTGATATCCACCACTTGTTGTTTTTGTGAAGTGCTATTGAGTCAGTTCTGATCCATAGCGACCCTGTATAGGGTTTCCTAGGAGCAGCTGGTGAGCTTGAACTGCCACCACTAAGAGGTGACAAAGTGGAAAGGAAGGGCCTGTTAAGTCACATCTCTTCCCAGTCTTTCCTAAACCCAGGATCTCTTTTCCTCCTCAAGCTGGCTCCCATGGCCAGGCTGGTTCTCTGGGACCAAAAAGGCAAAGTAAGGTTTGCATTTGTCCTACCTGGGATGAAGCTGAAACAAAGCCAACCCTGGCACAGGGTGTCTTGTCTCTCTGGCTCTCAGCCTGAGGGCCGGTGCCCTCCTCTGTCCTTCCCCAGAAACAAGCCCTTCTTTGTTTGCAGCACAAAGTCTCTCACACTGCCTTTGTCCAGGCATTGGCCACCAGGACCTCCCATGGGACGCCTCAGTTTCAGTCTTATAGAATATTCAAGAACTCATTTAGTTATCAAATAATTTCATTTTCTTCCCCAAGGTCAGTTTAAACACACATTATGCCCTCCAAGTCAACAACTTGTTTGCATGCGCCATCT